TAATTTTATACATTTCTTGTGAAAGAAACATTTCTTATTCAACGGCGATTAAAATTATTTATATTAATGATGTCTCCAAAGTTCAACGAAGTTTTCGCAGAAAAATAACATCAGAAATCGCGGCCGCGGTTTGCTGCGCTGTTCCGCGACGAAAACAAGCTTGAACAACGGCGGTGCACACTCGGTAAGTAATCCTACAATTTTTTGTTTATGGCGTAGTTTATACGGATTATTTCCAAAAAAAATATACGTATTTTGGAAATGTTGAGTCGGATTAGTCTAGAATCGATTAATTTTATGGAAGAAAACCTTTCAAACAGCCGTAGTCCGTAAACTTCACACGTGTCAGGTTGTGATTGGCTGTGATTCCTACAAAATTGATTCATAAAGAACGGAACGTATCTACCGTGTTATAGGGGGATCGACTGTATTATAAAATGGCAAAAACCTTAATTATGAAGGTAGGAATGAGTTTTATATAAAGTTGTAAATGCTGATAAACGAGTAAAATCGTCATTAAGTCCGACCCTACTGGAGATACACGCGATCTCCTCACTCCCTCGATCTTTAACCAACAAAATTTAACCGCATCGACCACCCCCCTAATCCACAAACTTCCCTGCAAAATTTCAGAAATTTTCGACAAAAAACACGGGTTATTAAGCTTTAAAGAGGGGTGGACGTATCTAATTGTGAGGACACACCTTAAAGTGATAAGGTAAGGGTTAAATTCTTAATTAAGAGCCGAACCCTCGTCTTTTTAAGACATATTTACACGTGAATATATTGCTGGGTTATGGGTTCTGTTCTCACTCAAGTACAGAACCCGGTTCTTTCTACAAAACTGGAATTTAAATGAATTATTCGGTAGAAGAGTCACTTACTAACGAAAGAAATCAGAGAACAAAAATAGTAACATTCGTTAAACGGTTACGCTACGATAATTAGGCCGTAAGTTGAAGTATCGTTTATTCAAAAACTGATACTTCGGTGGTTCTCTCTCCTCCCCCTTATTGAAAACTCATTGAACTAGTTTAAAGCTTTGAATTACGACTGTTACGTGTCGACCCGCAGTAACAGTCTAACTGCGTAACATTCCAGTCCACGTCCCGTAAACATTCTCGTAACTCATCAAAAGCTCATCCTATCGATCGCATTGTTTGATTTTTAGTAACGTGGTCTTGTTACGTACTGCTGCGTAACTTTTAACACTACGTTACACTAGCCTCTGTTACGATACAAACGAAGAAAAATCGAGTTTATACTGACGTTACAGGCTGAGTTGCGCCTATTAACACGGAAAAGGGTCCGAACCCCGTTTTGACGTAGAGGGGTGGCGACATCGTTACAATCGAGATCGATAATTTACGCATGGTATCTCGGGAAAAGGGGTCAAAGAGTTCATTAATATTCTTTCGCTCGTTTAAATGCCAAAATAACAGGGTCCCTTTTTGATACAAACACTTCCCTTGCGGGTCACGTGACACGGTAACCCCCTTTTACTACAAATGGGGAGGCGGGAGGGGATGGCGGTGACGATTCGAGCATCGGCAAACAAGGTGTCACGAACGTGTTTCGATCGAGCGTATCGATCGATACGTAACAGACGGAGCGTCGTAATAACGTTAGCTAATTAAGCGAGATGCGCCACCCCCGAGCGCGAGCGACCCAATTTTGGGCCGAAACGGGCAGTTATGAAAAGAGCTGGTGCCCGGCGCCTCGCGCTCTTCCGGGTGGACTTCCACCAAACTCGCATCGTCATCCGGAAGCGGAGGGATCAGAGAAGGGTGAGTTGAAGGCACGCGGCCTAACTACTTCCGGTTCGAGGGCTCTGAACGTGAAGGAATCTCATGTGACGGTACGTTTTATCTCTAAATCGGTTATAAAACCCGCGCTGTCCAGTCTTGTAATTAGCCGAAAATGGATCCGGTGATCCACTTTTCTCTTTCTCTTTATCTGGATCCCCCTCCTCATCCTCATCCTCTTAATGTTCTTCGAGTAGAAGGGGATTAACGGATTATAACAATGATGATAATCATTTTTGGATCTACTCGACTAAGATGATGAGGAGGATGAGTGATGCTAATTTTACACAGGATTCAATCCATTTTATCCGAGTGTTTCCGAGCTACATCTTGTGTTAGACCGAACAATTCCAAGTTCGTGCACAAATAAGGTCTTTTAGCTCGCGCAAAAGAAAACAGGAAACGAAGAAGGAGGGGATTCTAGAAACTGAGAAGGAGGAAGAAAGAGCAGGATTCTAGGAAGCTGAGGGGAGGAAACTCATTGAAATATACAGATAAAAGAAGGAAAGTGGTGCAAATTTTCGGATTATTCAGCTGAATTGTAGTTTTAGTTAAGGATAATTTTGTAAAAACACCTTAAAAGACAGGTAGAATCGATCTATCGTATAAGGAAGTGCTCCTTTACCATCAGACAAGCGTGCTCGGAGGTGAAGCTAGCTTTGGGGGCAATCCTAGTAAATAATAGTACAGCTTACAGGAAAATCCGGATATGGCGGATTTAAAACGAATATAACGGGATTAGGCACGTCTAAGATGATTGAAAGTCTGATAATTTATAAGAAAAATACTGGATAGAAGCTTCAAAAATAGATAATAATTGTTGCTGTATGTGGAGCGACGTCAGAAACCTCTTCCACTCCCATCAATCTCGTGCTGACTTAAGAGAATTTCCCAAAAGACTCGCCATCTGCAACGCAATGGATCGGTTCTTTGAACCGGAAGTCGGAAGTGGCGTCACGCTAAGACGTCGTCCATTCGTTTAAAAGTAGAAGCCACGTCACCGAGAAGGTTCTCCGAAGGCACACTCGTTCCCGGGATGAAGGTTGTCCATTCGAGTGCTGCGAACCTCTACGTGCCGAGACGGAGGTGCAAATTAGCTCCGATCGGGACTCGAGAAGCACCATGAGGTGCCTTAGGTGCTTTATGAGGACTCGAGTGGTTTACGCTAGAAAAACTTGGGATAAGGCTCATCAGGTAACGTAGCCTTCTCGCCATTTCAGGATTTGCATGATAAAAGTCTTATACATTTAATGAGAGGTGAATCCTATGTAGAATGGAATCACCCCATTTCTACTAGGAAGGAAAAAGGATTTGATGGATGATGGTAAAAGGGGCTCTCCCATAGGAAGGTAGGAATAACTGTTTGTTCTTGGAGAAAGGGGCATTCCTATAGGAATGGTTGTTGTTCTATGAGTAAGGGGCACTTCTGTAGAAAAGTAGGAATGGCTTTCTATCGAAACTTTTTTTATTGTAGTAAAAGTACATCTTCCTTCCTCCCCATCCCATAATAAAGAAGATGGAATTCTCTTCTTCCCCTTTCACCTCACTTCATCCGCCTCCTTTTTTCCATTTCTCTCCTCATCCTCTTCTAAATCTTCCATCTTTTCTAGCCACTCATACGTCACAAGAATATGCTTCCTTCAACCTCCAACCCATCCATCCTTCTCGCTTTCCTATTGCAAGTAGAATCGTCCCGTTCCAGGCGCGATCCAACATTCTCATTAAACTTTAAAGAGGAGGAACGATCAAGGAGGAGGTTGGCAATCGTTCGGCGTGACTGTTGTCAGGGTGGGGCCCAATCCGTTCAGACGTTCGACCCAGAAACAGCTTGGCCCAATTAATACCACGGATCGATAGATAAAGTGTATCCAAGTACTAGAGCCGAGGAGGATGAGGAGGGGAGCGAAGAGGAGGAGAAACGATGGAGTTTAGTAGAAAATCTTCCAAAAAATGACCTTCCCCGGTTGCCAAATTTCCCGAAACAAAATACGATTCGATCGATGGTATTCTTGCATGGGGGGTCATGCGTGTCGTAGTCGCCCGGGCAACGTTGCTCGCGCGAGAGAACGCGGCCCGCCCGCCTAAAATCTGGTAGAAGCGCGAACGGTGACGAAAAACGATGCTTGGACCCTCGTTCCTCCGTAACAAGTGGAAAGAAACGGTTCGTAACATCCAACTCAAGAATCTCCAGGTAAATCCTCAACCTCTTCTACTCTACCAAGAACTTTTTTAGTTACCGGATGATAAACTTTCCTCCGGATGAGGATGAAAGGAGGGGAGGAATCCCTTTCTTTCATCCTCTTCCAGAGGATGCTAGCATCCTGATACTCTTCCTAGCTGCTGAAGCTTTCTGGCACGAGAAGACGACGAAGAAATACCCCGAAAACGTGACGTTCTGAAGAGTTGAAATTCGCGGAACGTGGTAGTGCCACGTCACACGGTATCCTTCGGAATTCGGTGTTTTCCCCGGTGACGCAATCGACAGTAATTCTTTCTTTGCAATCAATTAAGCGTAATTGGCTATCTATTTTCATTCCTCCTATGCAATACGTTCGTTTAAAAACGGTTCATTTCCTCCCTTCCAAATGGAAACGCCCACGATTACTTTTTTATGACGACGATCGACACTCGTTACGGGATGCATCACACATAGTTACGTAGCTCGTGAACCGGGTATTATCATCACCACACAACAATTTTAGTGGAGTAATATACTACAATCTCGATTATCGTCGGAAGTATGGTGAGTGTAATTGTAAGATTTAAGGGAAATAATGTTGCGAATGAAGAATTTTTTAAATTTCAGAACATGCCGAGTCTTCACGACCCTCTGCCAATGGTGCAAAAATTATTAGACGAAGAGCGGCAAGCAGTCAGGGTAAGTGACTCTATCTGTGTGCGTTATATTGGGGTCATCGAGCGTGATACGTGATCTTGTCGGATCGTTCTACTTTCTACTACCTTCTCGCGCCTTTTTCGTGTCCTTTAAGCCATCGATGATATAAAGGAGCACGTTTTCCTGCACCATTTAGGAGAAGAATAGAAAATTAAACAAATTTATTTTAAAATATCTGCAATGATCTAGAATTTGTCAGAGTCCAACTAAAGGACGAGGAGCTGGAGATCTATTTTGGGTCCACAGAGGAAATTGTGACCTTTACTAAAATTATCATTAAGCGTTAGTTTACAAATCTAGTACAAAATAAGTTAAAATAATAGGATTTAGGAGAAAACAATGATTTAAAATTATATTTCTATCAACTAAAATAACTTAAGTAAATGAGATAAAATCGGATTTCTGTGAAGGAACAAGAAGAGATTAAAAGGAAAAGGTGTAAATTTCTTAAAATTAAAGGTGAAGAGCATTCTGGAACGGTTATAAAGTAGTTAAAATAAGGCAATTTCCCTCTTATCTGACGTAAAGAAAGTAGATTCTTGCGCTTACGTGATGGAAAATATTTAAAATTCCGATCACGCAAAGACGAAATTTCATTCAAAATTACGAAATAAACGTCTCTACTTCGTGATTCCTGCCAAAATTATCGTTTAAGAATCGATAACGAAGCATTTTTTTACACCTCGGATGGAATATTTTTGCTAAAAAAACCCCAGTAAAAATAGAGAATTCGCATTATTTTCGTTAAAAATGAATTTTTCTAGTTTAAAATAGTTTTAAAAGAAAGAAATTCCCAAATATTTCTTTAAATGACAGTTTAATCATAATTTTAATTAGAAATAATTTTATAAAGTAGTTAAGAAATAACACTAATTAATGAAAAGTGCGGCTTTTCCTTCAGACACGCTTGCTCTGAGGAGAAGCCAGATTCCTGTAACAAAATACGTGAATAATCTAAAGTCAAATCGTTAGAACTCAAAAGAGAAAGATTTTATAGGAGTTCGGTTGAAAGTCTATTAAAATTAGGAGCCCTTTAATCAGATAAGATGTTTAGAAGCCGTTTACGAGCCCGCTAATAGTTTAGGAGGTAGGCTAGGAGTTTATAAACTCTCCAAAGAGTTAGGAGAAAGGTTAGGATTTGTAAGCCCATCAAAGGATCGAGAGAAGGATCAGGAGATATTTATAAGGTCCTGATACTTCTCTTAAGGATTATGAACTTGCAAGAACTCTTAGAGTTCTTTTAGAAGGGTCACAAGTAACTTCGCTCGTCTCACTTGAAATTTAGACAATTTAGAAGAAAACAATCGATAGATTATGACATATAGAAATATTTAGACTTTCTAAATTTACCTATAAAGGAGGGTAGCTTTATAGTATATCACGCTACTCTCGTGTAATGTATCTAGCTACAGGTAAATGAACTGTTACGATTCTCCTGATCTACTTACCAATCCTTATAAAGTCACGGGGTTAATAATCCTTTTAAATTTAATCGAAAGAGCTAATCCCGAGGGATCTATTCGTTTTAATAGAAATCGAAGGCGTTTGTTTAAACGGTTTAGTAGAATATACAATTGTGTAAATTTAACACAGTAAAACTCGAGTACTACTGACCTACAATGTATTACTGTACGTTCTGTGATTAATTACATCTTTACTCTAGTAGAATTAATAATACAGTAATAACACACTGCTACTTCTGAAAGTAGGAGACTACCTCTATCCTTAACACCTTGCAATACTAGAATTTAGTAGTTTTTAGGATCTAGGGGTTAAGATTCCACTCTTCCTGTTTGGTAGGATCTAGGTGTTAAGATACTGTTTGGCTAACAACCTATAGATCCTACAAAAAAAACAGGAAGAGTAGGATCTAGGGTCTTACTAAGATCCTATTCTTCCTGTTCTGTAGGATCTAGGTATTATTAAGATCCTGCTCTTCCTGCTCGATAAGATCTAGAGATTGTTATCCTGTACTTCTAGATTACAATATGCGGTATTTGATTGTGTCGTGTCTACTGAAAGTTTAGGTTCGATAGTGACTGAAGCATTACACGCAGTACAATTGTATCGGTAATAATCAGTAGCAAGATCGCATTTAGAATTAATGAAAATATCAGTGGCACTGTTTTTAAAGGTTATAGTTAATGCTTAGTATGGGTAAAATGCGGTGTAAGTTGCACGTTTCTATGATGAACAGTTCTTGAGAAATAGAGCGTGACGGATGAACAGATATGTTGTGAACAGCATACTCTATGCTAAAATAATAAAAAAAAATAAGCGTTTTTAAGTTATATTTTCGATGATCCTGCCTATAAAACACTTTAAAGTAGTGTTAGAGGTTTAGATTAATCTCGATATTAAAACAAATCTATCACATTTTCTTCTAAAAATATGTTAAAGGGAGGCAGACCTACACCCGCTTGAACCAAAATTAGACTAAGACACGCCTGTTAAAGTCGAAATTAATTTAAAACACGCCTATTTTATGTCCAAATTTGTTTAAAACACTCCTATTTAAGTCGAAGTTAATAAAAAACACACCTGTTTTATTCTATTTGTAGAAAAGAGGAGTAACTCCGCCTTCATTTACTTCGTCAACCAATAGTAGCTAAGCATGCCAGAATTATTATAAAATATTACAGAAACGATATCTTACTTATATCTCGAGTGACCGTCTAATTTTAAAGTTATTTTTTTTATGAGATTTATTGAAAAATTAACACTTTTGTTCTTAAAAAACTCATCTGCATAACCATTCGATACTGAATCAGAGTAATGCGAAGCATCATCATTAGTATCGATCTACATTACTTACGATTGATTCAGTCGCTAGTTTTATAAGCTTAAAGCTGATATATTATTTATAAAACGGTTAATATAATAGCGTTATTAACCTATATCATTTAATGGATCCGGGCTGTATCGTTGTTATTATATAAGTGTAGACTGTAAATGATACTTACATCGATTTCCACCAACATGGCACGACTGTAATTCGGGATTTTTCGCATTAATTTAAACGATTACGCTAATAATTTAACTTGCAGACTGCTCTTCAAGCTGTAGATGAGCACACCAGACAGAAGAGAAAGGAACTAGTCGAGTCTCACCGCAAGTGGATGAGAGAGAATAAGCCCAAAGAAGACAAAACAACCAACACCAAACGTCCCAAAACGAAACAAGATGCGAGTTGTAGAAGAAAGGTGGAAGAATACGAACATTATCTCCATTACACGGAGAAAAAGGTAAGTTTGTTTAGTTCTAGAGTCATTTCGGGGTAAGATGACGAGGCATCTTTCTTTGAAAAATTCAAATGTTTATTATATTGTATCGAGGGTGGACGATTGTTACTATACATAAATTAATAAGATTCTGTGAAGACTTTTCACATTCATGTATGCCTCTTTATTCTAATTAGGATTGAGAGGAATTTAAGGTTCAGCAATCAGTGCATACGAACTATCGTTTGTAGTTTCTAGGGTAGTTTCTTCCAGAGGGTATTCCTATAGAACATTTAATGAAGCATCTTTCTTCTAGAGATTACTCAGGGTTTTTCTCTCCTATAGAGGCTATCTGCATGAACTGTTTAGTGGAGATTCTCTCCTCCATATGAACTGTTTAGTAGGGGTTCTCTCCTTTTCACGAACTGTTTTGTAAGTGTTCTCTCCTATAGAGGTTACCAAGTCAAGTGTTTGAGTTTAGGAATGGTCCTCAAAGCAAGTATAAGGATCATTCCTATCCCACCGGAAATAGATTCCCGTAAAGGAAGCGAGAATATGCTTGTTCTAGAATGGGAACCGAACCCACGTCTCCCAGCAGCATCTATAATATAATCGAGACGGGTTGATGATAATAATAATAATAAGTGCAGAGCCCAAACGGTTAGGAGTTGAAAGTTGAAATTTGGTACACAGATAGGGTACGTCACGAAAACGCACACTAAGAAGGGATTTTTCGAAATTCCTCCCGGGGGGGAGAAAGACAGGATTAAGGCTTAACATTTCCATCAACAATGGAAGTGTTAAGTAACAATGGAAGTTTTAAGTAACAATAAAAGTTTTAAGTAACAATGGAAGTGTCAACAATGGAAATGTTACGTAACAATGGAATTGTTAAGAGAAAGCGACGTGCAATACGCAGATGCAGTTTTTTTCGTTTTTGCGGGAAATCGAACATATTTTTAGACCCATCTAAAAATTCTCTAATTAGTCTGGAAACAAGGGGACCCAATTCTTGCATTCTGTGAAAACGGGTAAGGTTGACTGTAACGAAATAATCTTTATCTTAGTTATCGTTACTTTTGCCCGAGCAACGCCGGGCCCACCTGCTAGTTTACAATAATTTTTATCTTTTAAAATCTTGTTAGAAATATTTCAATTTATTTATTTATGATTTTATATTTAAAAATATATTTTATCTCTTAAAATTTGTCAATTTTTCTCCATTTCTTCGTTACAGCGCTCCGTTTACCTCGACGTCATTTGCGAGGAAGACGACGAGCAAAGTTCAATAGAAAGTAAAAAAGATAAAGTAAGTTCACTTTCAATACTTTTATCATCATCATCATCTCCTTTTTAAATATTTAAAAAGATTTCTATAACCGTTTCATTGCATAATTCAGTTATGATAATGTAACAGGATGTTAGGAGATCATCAATCATCACATACTTTAAAGTAAGTTTTCTCATGTAAAATGAAAGTAAGTGGCATCACTAATCACACCTGTTAGAAATTGAAATGTCAAGTGAACGGTGTAAATTTCGCATAAATTTCATTAGATTTTTCGCTGGTAAATTCGTGATTACACATTTTCTATATCCAAAATTCATTTAGATTTCTTCAGAATCGCATAAAATTTTAATGTATGAAGTCAGACGGGTGTTGCAAATTAGATTTCCTAACGTTTAAGGGAGCATACACAATGACTTTTTTTTTTATTGAAAACAGGTGCGCCTTTCGTCCAGGAACGACAATTTCCTTCTTGTAGATCGAGAGGCACCTTTACTCCCCCCCATACACCCCACCTGGAAGCAGAGAAATTACTTGGGTAAGGGTGACAGAGCGAAACTTAACAACTGGCAACACGTTGCCGACAATTTCATCGACAGCGATGCCAGAAAGAGAGGGAGGTAAGTTACAGAAATCTCAATTTTTAAGTAGAACGTTCGTGTGTATGAACGTTTCGATTATTTCGACATTAAAACATCTCTTCTATCCATTCTACTTTTCGTTTCCAATCCCGGAAGTGGAACGAGCATCGATCAAACGAATCGTGTCGTAATATATCACACGTCGCAACGAATTTGTCATTAGAAGTTACACACTAGTTTACCATTCCGGAACACTTTTAAAAAAACTAGATCAAAGTGATTTAGTATAATGTCATGCGGCTCTTTTTTTTTTCTCTTCTCTCTCTCTTGCAGGCTGCGCATCAATGGAAAAAATAACAAGACTCAGCTGCATCTCAATTACCAGAACGATCTCAGCGATAAAGGTAACGTGGATCAGGAGTTAGGACTTCAGAAAAAGAGACAATATATGGATGGCCCTACATACTGCAGCTCGAACAGTCGTTGGGTTTCCAACATCCCTTCTTTAGCATCGAGTCCAGACTGATTTTCGTTCCAGAGACTCCAGCATCTTCTATTCAACGATGGCTGATGATGCCGACTGGAAAAACAATGGCTACCACTTGTGGTAATGAGTTTTGCACTTCAGAATTTCGAATTTTGGAGGAGGAACGCCCCTTTGTACGTGCGATTTTATCCATTTTTTTTATTTCTTTCATAACTAACGATCCGCTGCGTGCAACGCTTCGGTTGCTCCAACCTAATTTGCATATCGATCCGTTTCGCTTATCTGAATTTATTTATTGTTATTTTTTTAAATTAATGGCACTGTGGCTTAGTGTATTTGCTGTACTTATAAATGTATGCGGATGTGAAAAAATGGCAGCTAAAATAATCCAATTTTGTACATATTTATGACCATTATCATCCGAAAATTAATGTAGAGATCTTCGTGAAATACCATTTCGCTCTTACATATTGCTCATTGTATTGAGATTCTGGAGGGATATTCACCTCTTCCTATTGTAGTTCTAATCATTAGATTTCATATAGCTCTAAATAATTTCGGGCATTTCGCATCTTCTTAGCTTACAACTTCATCTTCATCTTACTTCAGAAGCGAAGATGCTGCTCCCTTCTAGCATCTTATTACTACAGCGGGTCTCGATATAACGTTTCATTACTATCACCAGAAGCGCTAAATCGAGGATTCTATAAGTTGCAACTCCTGTCAGAAAAGCGAAATGTTATTTTCTAGTTGCTGATTTTTCATTGGGACCAATGAGTTTTGACGTTTAATCATAAAAAAGAGAGGAACATTTAGCTCCTGTATAATAAATAGAAGTGAATTATACATAAAATTGCACGCTTTTATTGCATTTAAATTGAAAATAATGGCAGGTTTTCGGTTAAAGAATCGTTTACTGCCGCCATATTGTTTTCGTATTGTCGCGCGCGCTAACTTTAAATCATTTTCTCGCCCCAAATAATCGTCCCTTTCTCCTAATAATTGTTACATTTCTTACATAAAACTCTCCGAAAAAGAGGGAAATTTGATATTTTCCAATTAGATAACAAATTAATCCAGAAAATTTGAATTTTTTTGGGTGTAATTCTGCCAAACTGGCAAGTAGAAGTGTACGCAGTTGTATTGGTAATTGGTATTTTGAGAATTTGAACTTACCTTCCTCTTTATCTTTCATTGATGATGATAAGGATGATGCATTCCTCTTCATCCTCAAACTGTCTCAAAGCTTACTCGCATGTTTTGAAGGTATTTTTGTCAACAAATTGCCATTAACCCCCAATGATAAATGTTACTTCACTCCATTCATCACTTTACCTTCTGTGAAAGGAAATTTGAATGTTAAACATAAACATTTGTCATTTTAAAAGTCGAATAAATAATTTTAAAAAATCCCAATAAATTTTTTTATTGATTAAATGAATCACAATAAGAAATTGCACCAGTTAAAATAAAGTCGTAGATCGGGGTGCGGCCGCCATATTGTTTTTGCATCGCGGCGCGGCGTCGCGCACGTGAAACAAATATGGCGTGATGCGACGATTAACACTGTAGGAAGCTGGTAATTACCATACAGAAATCTCGGACAGAACTGATAATTTTCAGATCAGATAGTAACAGAATGGATAAAACCACCGAATCCTGGTTGTTGCACGTCTCATAAACGGGTTTTTTTTAACTCTCATGTGGACTCCAATGTGGACACTAAGAAGGACTCTTTTAACAAGCCATTATGGATTCTGCCAGGCCCACGATTGAGGGACGGGGCATGATATATCCTGACAGAACCACCCCAGAAAACCACCTCCTGAGTCTAATAGGAGTCAGTTTTCTATAGAAAATCCTCCGCGTATGAAGCTCTTTGGCACATCACCCACGTGATTGCCTTATTAAGTCACTCCACTTGATATTTGTTACAAATAATTAATTAAATTTCTTGCGTATTAAGAAAAATTCGGTTTCTCTTAACCAAGACTACAAGCTCGAGTCACCTGAGGCCGCTTATTAACACCCTTAATCGCGCAGTGACGGAATGCAAATTTTAAGAATAAAAGAAAATTTAACAATAAAATTACAAAATTTTTCCGCAAAATTGTGTGAATTTTTGCTCAGGATATTGTTTTCTACAATATTTCAAACTTTCCTGAATTGAACTGGTGTATTTTAACTGGTTTTACGAGTACAGTAGAACCCCCTATAACACTGTAGATAATTCCGTGTTATATGAATTCCATGTTGTACGAGTCACTTAGATTTTACAAATACGTGAGCCGTTCATAGTCCGGCACACGTATTTGTAAAATCTAAGTGACTCCTACAACATGGAATTCATATAACACGGAATTATCTACAGTGTTACTCTAATCGTGTATCACGTCTACAGATTCAATATGGCGGAGGTTTACGAAAAAACTTCTCTTTTCTTAAAAATACTTCTACTTTTACATACATTTATTTAGAATAACATAAAATATAATATTTTTCTTCACAAGTATTTACTTGCAAGACGTATAGAAATTTAAATTTACCATTAGAAGAGATTACAAAAGGGTAAAGAGTAATTGAAAGTTGTACATACACGTTGTTCCTTGTTTGAAAATCAAAAATTAATCTATAAAAAGAAGGCAAAGTTATAGACATAACGCTTAATACAAGACAACATAGCATGATACCTGGTAACAATGCAAGAAGACAAGAGAAATCAATGTTCAGATAAATCTTCAAGAATAATTGAACCTTTATCTCTTATGGGGAATCTAAAAATTGCTTATAAGGATCCTCAGGATTAGCTAGATTATTATCGATCTGGCTCATCCTCATCATCATTTAGGAGGAATGAAGAATACCTGAGGATCTTCATTCCTCAGGTATTCCTCTTATGGGTAATCTTCAGGTATTCCACAAGATCTTCAGGATTCCTACTATCTGAGAATCTCTATCTCCTTATTAATAGAACAAATAAGAGAAAATGAAGTTTTGTAACATAATTAAATAATTAGTGATAAAAATTACTTCATATTTACACATTTAAATCAAATTATTCAGTTCAGTCAGGATGAAATAGAATAAAAGTGAGGATTTGGTCAACGCAATGCGAATTTTTTTATCTAGATACTTAGAAAATTCTCGATTGCCCATTGTAATTATAGTGAAAAATAGCCTTTCGGTTGGCTAATTTGATGTTATGATCATGGTTTAAAGCTGAAGACAAATGGTCAAAGACAAATAACTAAGTACTAACAGTTTATAAGGCAGTGTCTATGTAATTATTCTTGTCTACATTTAAGAGAAAATAATGATCCTGTATAAATCGTTATTTATGTTTTCCGCAGAGACCAATATATTTGTAAATAGAAAAGGATAAGGCAACAAATATAGAAAATAAGAAGTCGAGTATTACAATGTATAACGTACAGAGCAGTGACATAAACAATACAGTTACCTATGCATCGCTTAGGAAGATCTACGTTGGATGGTGAATTTTATAAAATAACTGTAAATCCACTGATCTACCATCATTTGTACTCAAAAGATTCAAAAACCGGCCGCCATTTTGAATCTAATTAACCATGACCATGAAGATTTATTCACGAAGAAATCAGTGCATAAAAGTTCCAAAAATGATGAAAAGAGACCAAACAATAGAAAATAAATAGTGATACTAAGAATCCTTCTACAATATATTTCAAACAAGCCAAGTATAAAACAAAAAAAAAAAAGCTATATCCAATGGACCGGAAAAGGAAGTTAAGAAGAAAGAATTTGATAAAGTGCCCATTCACTAACACAATAACGAAACCCGAAAACTTTATATGAAGTAATGAAACCCGAAACCTTTATGTCTTACTTTTCTTTCTTGTGTTATCATTCTTCTTGCTAACTTCGCCACTTATCACCTAAGAATCTCTCATATAACTAAAGAAACCTTTATGGATCACGATGAGGATTTCACGCGCTCCCCCGATTTTCAAAAGGATAATAAAACAATGGATTAAAATTCATATATAATACTAAAAAAATGTATACCATAGATTACAAAAGTTATTGATACTTTAACACCGTTGAAACATTTAGTAAAAGAAGATGGAATCGAGAAGGCGCTTTCAAGTTTTATGAGGTGCATCAATTTTTAAGAAACCTCTTTCAAGGTGCAACCGTTGTCTTTTATAAAATTTCAATGACAATAATCTGGGAAAGTAAATCCTATATGTTATTATGAGGTCGGAGTGTAGACTTATATTTCAAAATGAGTAATTCTATTGTTTTAACAATCGTTCTTGCGAAATAATGCGAGAAAATGAAATTGTTTTGAATGTTTCTTTCGTTGGCGATAATTGTGTAGATTGAGATAAAACCATTCCACGTATTGCAAAAGATTAATTTCTTTTTATTATAAAGCGTCATTTCCTCACATTGTAAAGGCACATTTACTTATTATTATAAAGGCGCATTTACTTAATATTATAAAGAACCATTTCTTCATATTGAAAAGGATTATTTCCTTCACATTATGAGTTATAACCATTATAACCGTACGAATTATGAGCCCCTGACCTATATCCCCAGGAATTACGATCCCCGATCCATGTTCCCAAGAATTATAATCCATTCATAAGAATCATTAGTCCATGACCCATATTCCTCCAGAATTATGAGTCCGGGCCAAATTCCTTCATAAGAATCATTAGCCCATGTCCCACATTCATCCAGACTTATCACTCTAGAGCCAGATTCCTCAAGACAGGTATGAGCTCCAAACCCAGGTTATACATAAGAATACAGAGCCTCCAAGAATTATGAACCCTGGTCATAATATTTCATAAGAATTATGCGCCCTAACCCAGATCCCCAGTATTATGAATTCAGGTAAGGTTCCCCACGACAATTATGAGCTCCTAACCCAGATTACACATAAGTATCACGCGTCCTTACCCACATCTCTCAAGAATTATTAGCACTGAGCAGGTTCCTTCAGAAGAGCCACGAACTAGGTTCCTTATACGAATTATGAGTCCTAACCATATTCCTCGTGAGAGTTAATAAGCTCCTGACCCAGGTTCCCTATAAATATTACGGATCCGTAACAAAAAAGTGATCTACAGTGAGGAACATTCGTAGTGGAGCACCCATTATTGGTTCTCTTCTATCTGTTTATCACATGCTCTTGTTGGGAGCACGTACTTTTTATAAACGTACACTTGTTCTTCCCGAAGACACCAAGGAATTATTTTTATAAATTTTATTTTAAATTTTGGCAAGGAGATTCTGTTAAAAATAGCGATCTTAATAAATGACGACGCCATTTCTACTTGTTAATTTATTATCCACTTTAATGTTACATAAAGTAAATATTTTATTTTTGGAATGTCTGGTTCTCTCGGTTTAAAGAAAAAAAATTGTCTAGAAAGGATGCCAAATAAAATATTTAGCGTTTTAATATAGATAAAGCCGCAGCGCAGGTGTTTCTAGAGAAGTCACGAAATTATTATAATATATTTTTTCGTTTAAACTAGTTGACAAATTAACCGACAGATGGCGCCACACGAAACTCCTTTACGGAAGCCGCTTTCTAGAACGTTGGTTCTAGAAACATTGTAGCAGATTCAAACTAGACAAGCGATTGTTTCTGTTTAAGGGCGTAATGCCCCATTAGGACAAGATGCCCCACATTATTAAAGCTTCCAATTTTGAGGGTCTTTAAAGCATTGTTAACTTCTAAGAAAACTGCCGTGTTAATTATTAAGGTA